AGACGCGGGGGCGCAGCCTTGGCGGGGGTCCGGGGCCGGGCCCACTCTCCTGCGGCCTCCCCACCAGGCCTCCCTGGGGGGCGGAGCCCAGGGAGCAGGGCTGGGCGAAGGCCGGCCGGGGGGCTCGGTGCGGCTACTACCAGTCGGGCGGTGGCTCCACTCGTCCGGTGCTGAGCGCAGCCAAAGCCCCCCACCTCACCCCACCCCGGCCAACACTGATTCGAGAGACCGCCTCCCCCGCCGCCTCTCTAGTTAGAGCCAGGAGGAGAGGGAGGGGTGCGGAGGTGCCGGGAAGGGGACCGGGTCTCCCCTCGGCTGTTGCTGGGGGCGATTACACATTTACAGCAAAAATGCCGGAGGCTGAGGTGCTTTATCCGACAAAACTTCCCTGGACTTTGAAACCCTATAGGCAACTAACCAGATTCGGGTCCCACTTGGTTTAAAACGAACTTTTAAACGAAAAGAAAAACAGGCCGGTTGACACTTGGAACTTGAATCGGGGACGGCGGAAACGAGCTCGTCTCCCGCGTATGCGGCCCGCCTGAGCGCTCAGTTCGTGGACGCGCCGTCCCGGCCCGGGGCCTCCCCGCTGGCTACTGCCGAAGCGAGGCGGGGAGCGTTGGCCCTGCAGGCGGCGTGGGGCGGGGAACCACCTGAGTGCGGGGTAGGGGTGGGGTCTTAGAACTGTACGCCAGCACCCCTTCTCCGTCCCCCACCCGATCTCCTGCAGGGAACAGATCGGGGTGGCGCTTTAGAACTAAGCAACACCTGCCCCACGTCCTGCGGGACACAGCCTTTGTGTACGGTGGGGGCTGTTACTACTGCAAGACACTCGTCCTCCGGCGGGGCTTTAGGACTCTGCCACCGCGGGGTGAGGAGGTGCACTTGTTCTCCGTAGAGCTCTGGGTGCCAGAACCCACTCCAGCTCCTCGGCCTCCCAGGGGTCGGGGACAGTGGGGGGCGGAGCAGAATCCCTCCTTCAGACAAGGCCCCTCCTAGTCCCAGCAGCAATAGAGGTGGGAACTGTTGCGCACTGTGCTAGAGCGGGTTTTTCTGACAAGGGAGACGGCGGCTGCATTTCCAAGCTGAGCGCAAGTAGGTGTGGAGCTGGGTCACAAGAAATGAACAACTTGAGGGGAGGGTATAGCTCAGTGGTAGAGCGCGTGCTTAGCATGCACGAGGTCCTGGGTTCAATCCCCAGTGCCTCCGTTAAAAATAAATAAATAAATAAGTAAGTAAGTAAACCTAATCCCCCCCCCGCAAGGAAAAAAACAACAAAAAGAAAGGTGGAAGTAAACTCTGCCAATATTACTTAAACAATGTCTTCGGGCTGAAGCCAAATATGAGCATTCTCTCCCCATTAGCAAAGACTTGAAGTTGTTGTTATTGACAGAAAAGATAGATTTGCTTTGGAACCTTTTAACCTGGGAGTTTCCGCTGGCAAGCCCTGTAGGGAAATGTGTGTGGAGAGAGGGGAGGAGGGAGAAGAGTCCATCCCTTCACAGCGACCGTCCAGGCCGTCCCCTGACTGTCCTTCGTTTTTCTGGGGAGGGTCAGAGGGCAGGAGTTTTTAGGTCAGAAAGGCAGGGAGGACCCTCCCCCTCCCAGCCTCCCAGTGGAAAGCTCCTAGCCAGAGTGAAGGGGACCCACACTGGAGAACCTCTGGGGTGCTTATTTCGCAAGAAGACTTTAAATAGGGTGGGTTGGGTTTAAATAAACAAAAGATTCTGTTGCACTGCACTTGGTTTTTGAAAATTCAAATGCAGTGAATGAGTTTGGGTGTGAGCAAGCTTTCCTGGAATAAGACACCTGCCAGCCGCAAGGTAAACCGCAGGGGCCGCCTACACCACTTCCTGGTCCCAGAGACTGGGAGGGGAACACAGGGACAGGCCTTGCCAACAGGGCGTCCAGCAAAAGGCTCAGAGACACGTGATGGTTCCGTCCACACGCAGGTCGGAAGCAGGCCACCCCACCACACGGTTTAGAATGCACACCGGCAGAGGGAAGATTAAGAAAAGCAAGCAGATGATGTGAGTGTGGTCAGGAGGAGGCTGGGGAGCGGGGGATACCCGCTGTAGATATGCAGGTTAGCGGAGTGTTGCCTTCCAGTCTTACATGGAGCAGTACGCACATGCTTTATGTACTTTTCTCTATGCTGCGGTCCACAATTTTAAAGAGTGGGTTGGGAGGAAGGAATTAAAAACAGGCTGCAGCTTGTGATGTGACCGCAGGGAGATCCAGTTGTTTCCGAGGAACAGAAATCACGAATCTGAAATGGCTGCATCTTAGAGGAGTCAAGTTCCAATTCTGCCACTACCTGGCTACATGAGCTTCTCCAGGGTCTAACTCCTCATCTGACTGGAGATAACAAGATTCTAAATTCCTGGATTGTTGGAGGAATAGTGAGATCTGTGTAGAGGATGGCTCAGGCCTGGCTCAGACGCAGACCTACTACAGGTAACCTTTACTGTCCCCAAGTCACTGTCAAGGATCGCAAGATCACAGGGCTTATTCAGTGTCTCCAGTGAATGGTCGAAATTGCTAATTAAATGGTGCATGCACTGTCCTTCGTTATGGAGTGGCAGGGCTGGGGCAATCATCTGATTTCCCAGGAGGTCTGTGCTTGGCCACTGATCAGGTCCGCCCAGAGTGTTCACATAAAGGGAACCCAGCCCAGGAGGGGAAGGCAGGTGCTTGGGGCTACAGGAAGGGTGTGGCATTGTGGTGGCCTGTCCAGGACCACTGAAGGGGCTATGTTCTGTTCCCCTGCCCTGCTCCCTTGGGGGTGGCTCAAAGCAGTGCTGTCGCCTCGGTCTCCCTGAGAGCCACTGGCAGGGAAGAGGCTGCACGTCTAATGCTGTCTGTGGGCCAGGAGTCGCCGCCACCCTCCTCGGGCTCAGTGAATTGTGATTGATGTTTCTGTTTTGCGTGCACCCCTGAGGTGTTTCACATGAAGCAATTGCTTTTAAAAAATAAAAATAGAATTTTTTAAAGGTAGGAGTTGTGGGTTTCTAGTGTTGTACATGTTCTAAAAAGCAGCTCAAAACACTTTTTGCCAGGGGCTCAAACCAGATCCCACATGAATTCTGGAATCTGTTCCTTACACAGTAAATTCCTGGGCCAATCTTTAAACAGCGAGGAGCTCCAAGAAACACCCCATTGGTGAAAGCGGGAAAGCAAGTCCGGGCCTGGGCCCCTTGTTACCCTTTTTTTTGGAATTCAGAGGGAGAACCCTCTTGGGGACGGAATTCATCACGCCCCCTTCTCTCCCTGGTGCCCCTCCCCTTTGGTGGGTCTGACTTGTGGAAAATCGTGAAAGTTAAAACATGGAGCAGAATCAGGACCTTGACTTAGTCGGAGTGTTAGTAGAAGCAAGTGGGTGGAGGAAATTTAGATCCTAACGGAGCCCATTTTAAGTACCAGAGCGTCCCTGAGAGACCCAGATAACGTAATGACAAAAAGGAAAATTGCTTTCTGCTTGGAAGTTGCAGAGCCTTCCCAATACCAGTGCTAGGACTTCTTCTGGACTCCCAGGCCCCTGGGCTGGGCTGGGCTGTGTGGCCTCAGGGGCCCCTGGGTGACAGTCCTTCCAGGGAAGCCAGCTTCGATAGGTGTTGCCTGAGAGGTCACACCTGCCTACCCGTGCTGGCCCCATCCCTGACAGGCCTCAGCCCTGGAAAGTTCTGGAAGGCTCTGGAAGCTGGCATGGGCAGGGCTTGGAGTCCCAGCCTCCAGACTGACACAGCTCGGTGCTGTGAGCATGGGGTGATGGATACAGGTCTGGTGTCTCGAGTTGCCACGACATTTCTGGGGAGCCTGGGGGCAGGGCGGGGGACAAGGTGTCTGGCCTCTACCATCGGCCCCCCTCCCCACACCAGGCGGGTTCCGGAGAGGCCCGCCCAGGCCCGCCTCAGGCTGCACTGACCCCT